ATGCGCGCTGCGGGAAGGGGGGAGGCACGCTGCGGGTGGGGGGATGCGCGCTGCGGGAGATGGGGAACGCTGTTGACCACACTAGCTCAGCATCCACAGCGCCTCTCGTAAAGGAATAAAGTGCTGCGTGCGCCTTGTCCCCGGGAAGGGGGGAGGAGCAGGACACGTGTATGATGAGACGTCTGTAATGTCTGAGCACGCATGTTCTATAGGAAGAGTTGTTCTTGTAGCTCATAGCAACCAGTAAGCTGTGCGCTCTTGCAGTGTTGGGTGTAAGGGGACACGTGGCACCTCTCTCCTGATGCAATGTTATTGTTCTCTTCTCTCCCCAGGGATTTGCCTTCATCAGCTTCCACCGCAGAGAAGACGCCGCTCGCGCCATTGCTGGCGTTTCCGGATTTGGTTACGATCATCTTATTCTGAACGTGGAATGGGCCAAGTACGTTCTTATTGGTTGTTGTGCGTTCTTGTGTGGTAGTGGGAAGAACGCTCCTTACATTGGGGGTCAGTGGGAAGAATGCTCCTTACATTGGGGGTCAGTGGGAAGAATGTCCCTTACATTGGGGGTCAGTGAGAAGAATGTTCCTTACATTGGGGGTCAGTGGGAAGAATGTTCCCTACATTGGTGGTCAGTGGGAAGAATGCTCCTTACATTGGGGGTCAGTGAGAAGAATGCTCCTTACAGTGGGAAGAATGCTCCTTACATTGGAGGTCAGTGAGAAGAATGTCCCTTACATTGGGGGTCAGTGGGAGGAATGCTCCTTACATTGGGGGTCAGAGGGGGGAATGTCCCTTACATTGGGGGTCAGTGGGAAGAATTCTCCTTAAATTGGGGGTCAGTGGGAAGAATGTCCCTTACATTGGGGGTCAGTGAGAAGAATGTCCCTTACATTGGGGGTCAGTGGGAAGAATGTCCCTTACATTGGGGGTCAGTGGGAAGAATGGTCCTTACATTGGGGGTCAGTGGGAAGAACGCTCCTTACATTGGGGGTGAGTGGGAAGAATGGTCCTTACATTGGGGGTCAGTGGGAAGAATGTTCCTTACATTGGGGGTCAGGGGTCACTTCCCTGAGAAATGAGAAGCTCCATTGGTCCCAGTCCGGTGGTTCTGCTGAGTGGTGTTGGTACCAGAGCTATGTGGCCACCATCAGTCAGGAGATGAATCCATCACTGCTCATGGAACCCCTGGCAGCCTCAGGGGGGAACCCTGTTGTGCCTCCTTATCTCCCAGCATGCTTCTCGGACTCTCCTGGATGCTCCTCTTGTTGGATTTTATAACATTTTGTTTCCAATAAAATAACCAAATAATACAAAACTAACAATTTCTTTTCTTCCCCCCGCAGACCGTCCACCAACTGAGCGTGGAGCCCCATCGTGTGATTGGAGGACGGAATCTATTTCTTATATGTACTCGATGCTAATAAAATATCAGAAGGTCGGAGGTCAGGTTTATTTATATCGGCGGCGTCACTTCTGCTTTTTATGGTTTCGGTGAATCGGATCAGGCGGGGGGGGGTTTGTGGCGTCCTCGGCACAGATCTCATCACACTGGTTTTGGGAGAAGGATGAAAATAGGTTAGAGAAGTGACCCCGGGTCAGCTCACTTCCTGCGGTGAAGCCGCCACTTTGTAGCAGACGGAAGGGAACGTGAACTCCATGCACTGCACTGATGATGGCCGACAAGCCTGGAACAGCTCTATGCTGTGCAGAATGAAAGGCTCATTATTAGGCTGTTGCTGTCCTATAGACCAGTGGTCGTGGATGCGTTGTTGGTCCCGGGGGCAAATAATGATTTGTCTGGCCCCGCCCACCATCCTACAATGAGGGATAAACCTCTTTTATGTTTTAGTTTTTGAGATACGTGGATACCGTCTGTCTTTAGAAGGCTCCACTGTGTGTAGTATAATTACAGGGGAGGCATTGCAGGACCGCCAACATATCAACATAATCCACATTTCTACACACAAGGGAAAGGAGTAGCGCAATAAATCAAAGGATGAATAGAGTAAGCTCCTGGGTTTCAAAATAAAATAAACACATGATTCCCTTAAAGGAGAACTATGAGGGGGGGAGGGGCTTCTCACTCCCCTCATAGTTCTAGCCGACCGGTGACAATGAGACTGTCACAGGTCGGCTCAGTAGATCAGGAGGTGAGCGAACACATACCGGGTTCGCTCACCTCTCGATCCTGTCACTGCTCTCTGCCGTGACAGGGGAGGGGCTGGATTCCCACCTCCCCGCTCCGATCCGCCAGCGCTGACGGGGGAGGGGGCGGGTACAGCTGGCTCTGCCTCTAGATAGGCGGAGCCAGCTGTCACTCACGCAGCTGGGCGGATCCCGTCATCTAAGTCGGGATCCGCTCCGGCTGCGGCGTCTCAGTATACCGCGAGCTGTAGCTCCCTATATACTGAGCCTAGGGTGACGGGAGGACGCTAGTTTGTGTTCTCCCGTTACCCTAAGGAGAACTATGGGGAAAGCCCTGACCACATCGTTCTCCTTTAAGGAAATAAATCCCAGACAAGGAGACGTCTGATGAATAAGTAACAATGTCGGGATCTTACAAGGAGTTTTAATGATTTATAGAAAAATGCAAAAACTAAATCACATGACACAAACATTTATAAACCTTAAAATGTCCGAGGCTTCCCTACAACCGCTCCAACAAATGGATGTCGGTGATGGTGGTAATACGAGTGCCCACGAAGGGTGGCGAGCAGTCGCTGGTATGTGGACCAAACTTTAAGGGCCTGTTCACATGAGTTTCTAGGTCCTGATCAAGTGTGGATCAGCAGACGCGGTGCTATGTTTTTTTTTTGATGCGTGAAGTGGCGCTGTCAGTATGTTGCCTGCAGTGCGTTTTTGACGCGTTTTGCGTTTCCTGACCGTACAAAATGTGACATGCAGTATTTTTCTATAAGCACTATCCTTGTCGCACTCCTTGCCGATATGTCCCTTGTAGTGGGGGGTGCTCGCAGTGACCGCGGATGGCGCCGCAAATGTCAGCAATTGTAGACATGTCACCAGCACACCAATCCTTTTAAGATAGCAAAAGCTTCATTTATTGAAGTTGTTTGTCATATGACCAATAAATGAAGCTTTTGCTATCTTAAAAGGATTGGTGTGCTGGTGACATGTCTACAAATGCAGTATTGTATCGTAACCAGAACGGACTGCGCACGTGAGAACTGTAGCCCATAAAACACACAGGGATACATTGGGATGCATATTTAGTGCAGGAGCGTACGGAGCCGGTCAGCACAGAAAACGGACGTCGTGTGAACAGGCACTAAAGAGTAGATGGGATACAATTGTATCTTAATGTGCCGAAGCAACTCGCTGCGTTTTGTAGTTTCAATGTAGCGATCCGCACCGAGTCTCACGCTGGATAGTTAGTTGGTTTTTCAGTAAACATCCAAAATGTATCCATACGGTGATTTGTAACTATTATTATGACATGGTATTTATATGGCGCCAACAGTAATAAGGAATCGCTTCATTTTAGCCGCAGAGATCGAATTTCTTTCCCAGGATTATCTGGATGTTCACCTGCAATGGAGCCGGTTATTCCCTTCGTATAGAGTCGCCGGGAATATCTCCTGTAAGTGCGGCGGCACAATATAAGCGGAGTAAGAGAAGTCTCCAGGATGTATATCCACTGGCCCCCGGATCTCATTGCCCTTAGGGTATGCGGGCAAGCCCGGCTCGATCCGCTCAGCAGTGTACTGTCCCCGCCAGCCGAAAGTATAAAATACTCGGCAAGTAGCTCCAAGGCTGTGAGGGAAGGCGTTATCCCGT